ATGGGGGGGCTCTGGATATGCAAAACATGTATTTACTTCTCAAAAGAAAATTATCAGACTGATCTTTAACCTAAAAAACACCGAATCATGCAAAATCACATTTAAAACTCACAAAATACTAACAGTACCAAGTATTTATATACTAAATAGTTTACTATTTGCTAAAAATAATAATTTAAACTTTGACAAAAACAACAAATTTCACTCGTATTCAACAAGAAATGCAAATAAAATAATGTCCACTGCACACAAAACAACAAAATTCGAGAGGTCGGTCTCATACGCATCAGCCAAAATATACAATAATTTACCAGAAAATATAAAAGAAATACATAATTTAAATAAGTTCAAAAACGAGTGTAAAAACTTCCTGGCAAATCACTGTTTCTACAGCACCCAGGAATATTTTCAGAAATGTTAGATACCATGGTAGCTATGCATAGCTTTAAAAATGTATGCTTGTGTTCTGTTCTTTTTGTTTATATACATTTATTTTTAAATTATAAATAAAACCATAGTTTTAGTACAAATATATGTGTGTATATATATATGTATTTATCTGTATTTGTGAACCATGCAAATTACTTTAATGACGTGTACACCCTATTATATCTAGGCAAAGTATAAATAAAATATTATTATTATTATTATTATTATTTACGTTGAATGTAGTAGCTCCAAAAGTCGTTTTTTCACTTTTTCTCATATTTTTGAGAAAATCGAGCGAATGACTGGTTTTACCGAAAAGGTTCAAATAAAAAAGTTGTAGAAAATTTAATTTTTGACTAAAAAGGTTTTTACGTTCATATCACTAAAGTGCTTTGTTTAAGAGAGCAATATATAGTTGTTGAATGAAATTACATAAATTTCAATAAAACCTATTTTTTCTTTGTTTTTGGTTATTGAATTGCTTATATCTCTTAAACAAAGCACTTTAGTGATATGAACGTAAGAACCTTTTTTGTCAAAAATTACAACTTTTTTATTTGAACTTTTTGGGTAAAACCAGTCATTCGATGGATTTTCTCAAAAATATGTGAGAAAAAGTGAAAAAAACGACTTTTGGAGCTACTACAATCAACGTAAATAAATCAAAAACAAAATTGATGCAGGGCCTTTATTATGGTGATAAAAATTATAATTCAAAACCCGGCCAAAATATAGAAATTTAAAGTAAAAATGATTAAAAATACATGCTTTTTATATGGAAAAACTACAAAATTAAAAAGGAAGTACTTAGAATCAAAATTAAGGGCTCAAATTTTCAGGGAATTTTTTTTTCAACCTAAAAACCGAAATTTTCATGTGTCAGCATTGCAAAAAAAAAATTTTTTCTTGCTGACTCAGCAAGAAAAAAAAATTTTTTTGTTTTAAATGAAACACCCTAATGAACATTTTTGGTCAAAAAACACTAAAACTAAATATTATGATTTTTTTCACTTTTCAAAGCTTTCAAATATACGAATTTTTAAATTGAAAAAAAATAATTCTGGGATAGATTTTGTAGGAAATTTTATGCTCTACAAGAATCCGCGACGTAAAAATTTTTATCTCAAACGGTTCAAAAGTTATATTTTTTTTAATGAAAAAAGATTTTTTTACGTGTTATTTCAATGGAAAACTTAAAATGCTCACCGACACCTTTTAAAATTGAGCAAAAAATTTTTCCTTGCAGGAAAATTTTTTGCTCGGTATGTAGGTTCATTTTAACCCATAAATCCGATAGGTTAGTTTTTTTGGCTCACCCTAAGCTACAGTTAATTTTTTTTATTTTTATTTTTTAAAAAATTGTACTTCTGCTGAAGACCTTAATTAAATACTCTGAAACTGTCAAATTTCTTTTATATAAATTCTTTTCAAAGCGAAGATTATTATGCGCTAGGAGTAGTCACCTATATTTAACTACTTTTTATATGATTTCACTTATCTACGCACCACCAAAGCCAAAACTTTTAAAACTTGGAATTTATTAGTTTTCGTTAAAAAAAATTTGTAAATCAAGTCTAATTTTATAAATTGCAAACTAAATTTAGATTATTTCCCTTGTCTGATCTAATATTAGATTTGGACCTTTTTTATTCCAAAGATATTTTTATCCCGACCAGATTAGAAACAAAAGACATTCTATTCGTCCTGTTGCTCGCAGTCACGTGCAAAACAATCTAGCATCGACTAATCCCGTCATTGGATGCATAAATGGCGCACAGTGCGGCAAAACTAAATTTTAAGTGGACAATTTTGAAATGTTGACATAATTCATTATCTCCCTTTGAAATAAAAGAGGATAAAATTCATTTTTACTTTAACAATGCTTTCAAAATTGTCGAAGGAAAAATAAAATCGTCTCGCCAGATTCCGATCGATGACCGTTGTCTATTTTTTTCTTCTATTTCAGGTCTTTGATATTCTCCTACGTTACTATAAACCTAATCAAGAAAAGACATACGTCGTAGGACGATGGCCCTTTACGCAAGGGACCTTTGAAAATGCGAGAATGTTCCATGACGTATATTTTGCACAGTGGGGCAATATTTTAAAATTTTCTTAGGTACCTATATCAAAAATATTTAAAATTTAAAGTTTTAAATTTTCAAAATTTATAAAAAATTTCACTCACCGACACACTTTTTTATTAAACAGTCCTGGATGTAAAAAACGTTTTTTTAGATAAAAAAACGTGTTTTCTTTGTTTTTTGTTTTTTTTTTTAAACCGTTAAGTATATGTTAATAATTATGATGTTGGAACATACTCTATGTGTAAATAATAAAAAAATTCATTAAAATTTAAAATATTACAAAAAAATATTTTGATATAATCTTTAAATAGGTATTTTACACATTTTAATTGTAAAATTGACAAATAAAATTAGTGTATAAATTATTTAATTATAAAACCATTAATCTTGACCTTTTGCCAAAATTTTAAATGACTAATTTACATTAAATTTAGAGATTTGACCTTTTTGGCAAAAACTAAATTTTCTACAAAAAATGTTTCTCCTTTTTTTAAGATTTTGCTAAAACTTTGAATTATGTTTTACTGTCAAATTTAATTTGTTTTCTTTACGGAAAGGGTTCAATAAAAAATTCTTTAAAGTTAAAAAAAACAAACTGAAAAAAACTGAATAAAAAACAAAAAACTTTTTTTTTTCAGGTTAAATCTCTATCAACAACTTAGAAAATTCAAAATTTCCAAAAATTTTAAAATTTAAAAAAATATTCAAAATTTAAAAAAAAATAAGTAATTGATAAAATTTTATTATTTTTAAATCTATCAAAACTTCCAAAAATTTCAAAAATACTCAAAATCAAATTTTTAAAAAGTCAAAAATTTTCAAAATAATTCAAATTTTTTCAAAAATTCTATAAAAAAAATTAATTTTATACCTTAAATTTAATTTGGTCGAATTTTGCTTTAGATAGTTGGTATCACAGTAATTGGTTTGACAGTTAATGTCAAAATCGATTCGCCATGCCGTCCTTAATTTTGGTGTTAAACAAAATGTATTGCCAGAAAAGTCTCGTAAGTACTCATAAAACTATTATAACCAATATGCAGAATATTATGCTGTTTAAAGTATAGCCAACCTATAAAATCAAAATTTTGGGTGGGATAAAGTATCTCATTATAGCTCCGAACGCGAAATAGATAAAAAAATATTTTACAAATTTTAATTGTAAAATTAAAAAATAAAGTGAGTGAAAAACATTATTAATATAAATATTATTTAATTATAAAACCATTAATCTTGACTTATGTCGAAATTTCAGAAAATTTCAAAAACAATCGAAATTTTTAAAAAGCAAAAATGTTCATAACTAATAATTTTTAAAAAATCAGAATTTTTATTTCACTAATTAAATAAAAGTCTTGGATTGGTCAAATGTATTGAGCAACAACTTAAACAATGTATATGTATACTGAATAATTTGTCATTAAAATTTAAAATATTAGAAATAAATATTTTGATTTAATCTTTAAATATTTAACAACTTTTAATTGTAAAATTATTAAATAAAATTAGTAAAAAAAACATGATTAATATAACTATTATTTAATTATAAGACCATTAATCTTGACTAATTTTGTATATTTCTTAAAATATAAATTTAAGAGATTTTACCTTTTTGGCAAAAACTAAATTTTCTACAAAAAATGTATTGACTTTTTTTCTGAAGTCAACCGTTTATTACAAGATTTTAAATTATATTTTACTGCCAAATTTAATTTAGGACAAAAACTATACTTGATTTGTTTAAGAAAGAATTCTTTACAGTTTAAAAATAAACAAAATGTGAAAAAACTGAATAAAAACAAAAAAAATGACTTAAAAATTTCAAAATTTTTAAACTCGTTTAATTTTTTAAATTACCGTAAACATGGGTGGCTTTAGCTCACTTTCAAACTTAATCTTAACATTTTTGTAGTTTTAACAATCATCAACATTAAATATTGTATACCAAAATTTGAGTCTTGAGTTGCTCTTTCATAATAACTATGTTATAATCTTACATAGGGCTGAGTTTCAAAAATAAAAATTAAAAACTGGGTGTGCAAAGTTACCCCCTGGTTGCGGGTTACTTTGTCTCACAGTGTATTTTCCGTATAAAATTAACTCAATATTTTATTTTATTTTTATTAGACAATTAGGCAAGGGATTACCGATAAAAACAATAAAAAATCGACCTGTAGTTAACCAAGGATCATCATTCCAATGGATTGCGCATAATATAGAAATTGAAACGCGTGTATTTTTAAGAGTTTTGCACTGATGCGATATATACAATTTTAAAGTGTAATAAATCCCATTTCTTTTTTTAAAACACTGATTTTCCTGTAATATAAACTCAATAGAATCGCTCAATTGACAGGTTTAGACCAACAAATTATAAATGTTAATAGTCACCCGCGGGGTGCAAAGTCACCCGTGTTTACGGTATTCAAAATTTAGACAAAAAAATAAGAAATTGATAAAATGCATAAAAAAACTTGGACTTACCTTGCATGTATGCTCCCTCCTCCGGATGCACCTTGATGTTGGGGGGCGGCGGATATCCCGCCCCCGCCGCATGAGGCGAAGTGAAGGCGCTCGAGCACCCGTGCCTCACCGCCCCCACAGGGGCGTGCTGGAGCACCGCGTGAGGCGGCACGACGGGCACCGCAACAGGGACGGGCCCGTGCGATATGACCCCGGGGTGCCCGTGTTGGATTCCCGGCCCCGGAGGCGGCTGCATGTTGGACAGCGCGTCCAAAGGCGTGTAGGATTTCGTCGAGGATTGTATCGAGTCGCTGGTGCTCTGAAAATGAAGGAAACTATTAAATGAAGCGACGATTTTTGAAAAATACGCAATAGTATGTTATAAATTTATAAACTTACAAATTACTATCTTAAAATTCCCATTACTTTCTGTGAAACCTATTTTTTTTATATTCTTGTTAATTAGCTCATAACAAAAATTTTAAGAGCAAAGTAAAAAAAATTTGATGGTTTGAATTGTTTTAATTGGCTGTTTATTAAAAATATTATGCACTCTTTCAATTATCCAATTCAAACTAGCGTTTTAATTTAAATATAAATATTTGCATAACAAAAAAAAAAAGGTTTTTACAATTTTTTTTTATATATTTTACTGTTTTGTTGCAATAAACGTTCAAACTTTTAATCTAACCTTTGACGTATACATTTATGTTCCCTTAATTAATATATCCTTAAAGGTTGCCATGAAACTTGGATCTATTAAAAATTTATTTGACGTTTGAATTGTCATTTTCAGTATACGTATTCTTTAGTTTTTTAAAGTGTTTTTTATAAACTAAAATGAAAAATTGTAGTAAAAGTTACGAAGAAATTCATGAAATTTAACTAAGGACCGGTTTATTCATCTTTAGTAAAGTTTATCGGGCCGATAACTTTCATGTCTTGGCAATATCTAGTATACAAAGAAATTATTCGTCAAATAAATCAAAAATGAATAAATCGGCCCTAAATAAAATGTGGCACCCTTACAATTATTGTTTAATAAATGTATACTATACATTTAACCTTAAATTAAAACTTTAAACGTGTATTACAACAAAACAGTAAAAGATATAAAAAATGTATAGACCTTTTTTTAGGAAATTAACTAATCTATAATCTGATTTAAAAAGTTATGATAATATTTAAATAAAATCGCAAGTTTTAATTGGAGAATTGAACGTGTGCATACATATTTTTAATAAACATCCCAATAAAACAAAATTAACCGTCAAATTTTTTTTATTTTGCTCTTAAAATTTTAGTTATGACCTAATTAACAAGAATATAAAAAAAATTAGGTTTCACAGAAAGTCCAAAAATCACCTCTCAGAACAGCACCGTGTATTTGGTTGATGACTTTTTGTCTTTAAATAGAATAAATTTTTACGTACCAATTTTGAAGACCAGGTTAGTCATTTTTTGAAAAACAATGTTCTACAAATTATACTAAATACTCTCCCATAAATTATATGTGTATTATATATAATAATTTACAAAACATTGTTGACATTTTTGGTGTTAATTTTTCTGTTATAAGAATACTTTAAAAAGATATTTTTTGGACTTATAGTTTTTCTTATTTTGGTTTGGGTAGGAATCAAAGTTTATCAATTAAATTTTAAGATAGTTTTAGGTAAAATTGTGGATATTTTTTTGGAGATTTTCGTTTCATATTAGGAATACTTTCAAGTATTGTATTGTATTGTGTATTTTTTATTTGATAAATAGATTTAAGTAAGGATAGAAGTTACAATACATATTATGTAAATTAGTCTTAAGTTAATTAGTTTTAAGTTAATTTTAGAAAAAGCTCAAATTGGGAAAATTTTCCTGTAGAGTCTTTCTTTAATAAATAAATAAATAAAGAACTAAAAAACTGGAAAACACAAAATAATTTTAACAATAGTATAGATGGATGACAGATAGATAGATGTGTAATATTTTACCACCAATTTTACAAACAAAAAATATTTTAACTAATTATACCTAATTAGTTAAAATATTTTTTGTTTGTAAAATTGGTGGTATTATAGGCAAAAAATAAAGAAAAAAAATTAACTTTACCAAGAAAAACAAACTCTAAAGTCTTGCTTGGCTAAGAAATTGTACAAAAAATGTACCTATACACACGGTGTGTCTGAACGAGTTTTAAGTCACATAAAAAATGCCGTCAAAAACTGATTGCAGTTTCTTGTTTGGGACTCTTTGGTAACTTAAAAATAATATTTACCAAAATCCTAGCTGCTCCTCTTTTAAATTCTTAATTTTTTTTAAATTTTTTTGGAGATAAATCTTCTTTGTGCATGCTTTTTACTATATAAAAAGTGATTTTTGGCTAACCCTTTATAAATCTAATGATGTGCTCAGTATGAAAACAGTATTCTCCAAGTCTCGTTAACAATATACTCCAATATTATAAAAATAGGTGTACAAATGTGTACTCTGGCAAATAATAAAATAATAAACAAATAATTTAAAAAATGTATTTAATTTTTTACAAATTTAAAAAAAACTTTGGTAAATATCGTTTTTAAATCACCGAAGAGTACCGATCAAAAAACTTTGACAAGCTTTTCGTTCAAAATTGAAAACTACTAAAAAGCCTAAATTAAACAACATTTTAAATATTTTATTTAATTTTATCAAAAATCTTCTTTTCTTAAGAATGCCATTTTGTAACCTGATAAACGTAGAAATATCTAAAAAAATTGGGTATAAATCTTTTTTGCGTGTTATGCCAAAACCATGAATTTACGCTTTTCCTTTATTAAAAATAAGCGATTTTTGGCTAACCCTGTATATATCAAATTAAGTGAACAGTATTAAAAAATTTTCTCCAAGTCTCCGTAATAATATACTCCAATTTTATAAAAATCGGTGTACAAATGTGTACTCTGTCAAAGGTAGACTTTGAAATAAACAAAAATTTTAAAAAAATCATGAATTTTAAAAAAATTTCGAAAAGAGGAGCAGCTAATATTTTGGTAAATATCATTTTTAAGTCACCAAAGGGTCCCGAACAAGAAACTGCAATCAGTTTTTAAAAAGGCATTTTTATGTGACTTAAACTTCGTTCAGGCACACCGTGAGTATATGCTTTAGTAGCAAGACAAAGCTAATATAGTAATATCTTTTTTCAGAAGCCCAAATCTTTTAAATCAAAGAGATTTTTTTTTCATTGTAGCTACTTTAGGAACCAAATAAAAATTTTGCGGATTACGGTACTGAATATTTTCTAAATCTGTATTTATTTTAAAAGTTTTTAGATTTATAGATTAAAATCCTGGATTCAGATTAGTATATTTCGGTACATTTACAAATGTCGGGGTAAAAAAAAAAACACCAGAAATAAGGCTTATAAAAAATGTTCATTTAATCATCAAATGTGGTGAATTTTCACCACTCTCTTAAAATGAATTAGTCAAATTCTACTGAATGAAATAGTTAAATTAGTAGATTTAAATTTAAAAAAAGTTTTGACCCAGCCGGGGATTGAACTCAAGTCTGTCATTTGTCAAGCTGTTGTCATAACCCATTCGGCTATCAGCCGCTCTTATAAAAATCAATATTATTTGTCAATAAATATTGTTCATAATATTTTAAAGTTAAATATATTAACCATGGAGCTTAGGTATATGAATTTAATTCAAATAATACTGTTGTTGGCCGCAAACGATTAAAGAAATTCGTTACTTTTAACTCTCAGAAATAGTGAAAGATGGTGATTAATCTTAAATTAAAACTTTAAAATGCTGGTACTAATTCAAATAGTAGAATTTCGACTGTTTCATTTTTTGAGAGCAGACCTGGCAACATCGCACCCGCCCAAGCAATCGATCAAAAACTCATACTCACATTATCAGGGCCCCCGGCACTTGTCGACGTCTGCAGCAAGGTCTCGGTAGCTACGGCAGTGGCGGCCGTCTGCGTATGACTAGTAGCCGAAATCCGGTACTGCATTCCGGCGATACTGCAGTACCCTTCGTGGTGCGTGGACCTCGTGGTACTGTTCACGTACACGCCCGTTATGGTGACATCAGTGTCCTGATTCAGGATGACGGCCACTTTTTTGTTCGGCGTGGTGTGCACCTCAATGAGTTTCTCCTCTTTTTTGACGTCGTCCTCGTAGCACTTCTTCTTGAGAATCTCCTCATCGGTGCTAACATACTCTGACTCGGTATCGGAATCGGTAGTATCGTCGCTTTGGTTTGACGATTTTTTTTCCGTGGAGTAACTAGCAGCCAATATGGCGGAAGCGTTTAAGCTTGCCATGCGTTTACGCACCACCATATCCTTTAAGTCCATAAACAACTCCGTTTGGTTTCTACGCTTTTTACGCACAACTTTCTTCATCTCCTTTGGTTGTTTTTCCACCACCTCAGTTGTCACAACTTCCCGTTTGATTTTCGGTTTCTTCACCTTAACCTTCACCTCCACATCACTGCTACTATTCTCTTCAGAGCTCGAAGTACTGTCAACCCAGTGTTTACCAAACCCTCTCAACCCCGGTTGACACCTCAGCGTTCTAGTGCTAACCTCCACATCCTCCTCTTTCTTCGGTTTAAACTCTTCATTCTTGAACACTTTAAACTCCTCTTTAACCGATACGGCATCGTGTTTGATGAAATCGCCATCGAAACGCGATTCATTCTCGTACAAACAGTGCACCTTCGCAAGCGCGTTGAGCGAAGCCTCTCTGTGCCTTTTGGGCTCCAACATCTGCTTCTTCAGCTTCAACTTTGCCAGCTTCTTCTTCATCAGAGCCCGCTTCAAAGCGTTGGTTTTAACTTTCGGTTTCTTGACTAGTTTTTTCTCCTTATCCGACTCGCTTTCTTCCTTTTTAACCTCGGTTTTGATCTTCTTCACTTTCTTCACCACGTCGACTTTCTTTGGCGGTTTGATGACTCTCTTTACCGGGGCTTTCAGCACTCTGGTGGCCTGTTTTAGAAGTTTCTCTATAGTTTCTTTCGTCTTCAAATCTTCAGCTTTTTTTAGCTCCGCGTCTGTTTCTTGTTTCTTCTTCTTCGCCTTTGGTGGCGCAACATTTGCAACCTTCTTGATAGCTTGTTTCTTCTTGGTTTCCATTTCCACTTTTTTGACATTTTTCGAGGGTTTGACTTCCAAAACTTTCTTCTTCGCTTCCAGTTTCTTCTTAGGGCTTTGCTTCAAGTTTTTAACTTGAGTTTTGTTAAACTTACACAACTTCTCCTTTATCTTGGCTTTAGTCTTCTTGAAAACCTTCTTCTTCACAATCCTACTCAAAGGCTTCCGTTGCAGTTTTTTATCCAACGTTATCGGCGTTATTTCTTGCTTAATAGGGGTCAATTTTCCTTTTATCACGAAGGATATGGTTTCTGAAATAGAATCTTCAGCATTTTTTGCCTCTTTTTTCTTCTTGATGGCCGCTTTTGGGACTGCTGTCCCCTTAGGAGCAGTCTTCATGTTGATGATGTTTCGGCTGGTTTTAGGTTATGTTCTTGACACTTTTAGTCCTGAAACAAAAGAAAAAATGTCAAATATACCGTAAAATATAAGTATACATATATGTTTGAATGATTTGCAATTCTGTTATGTTTACAGTCAGTTGTATAAAGCGCAGCATAAAATGGTTGTTTTATCTGTGAAATTTAAAGAGCACTTTTTTAAATTGTCATTTCAAAATTCGTGCTACCAACTTAAAAAACAAAAATGTGAAAATTTTAAACCTTAATTTTGCCATTATAACAACAAATTAACATTTTATATTGTTACTTATTTACTCTATATGTTGTTTTTAGTTTTTATTGATACTTTAATTTGTTTTAAAGTAGTAATTTGTTAATTTAAATACTTACAGCGTTGTATTTTTACTAAATTGGCACCGCTGAATTTGCCGTCACAGCCTACTCTTTATTACTTATCAAACTATTTTACCAACGAATTCACTATTAAATTTCTCCCAACATTTCAGGTGCCTACACCCTGTGTAATTATTAATTACGAATGATATATTTGTAGTTCATTGGTTCGTATTCAACAAACATAGAAACGTGTAAATTTCATTGCAGGGCCGAATAATCCAATAATTTTCGCTCGAAATTCGTTCGCTGGAAAATTTAAACGTAGATATCGTTCGAAATCTCGATTTAGTTAATTCCGTTGATGAGAGATTTGACAGTTGATCTGTCAGTTACACGATAATTTCGTTTGTTTTCGGTTTAATTGGCAACTGCGCTTGATGTTTGACAGTTCATCTGTCAACTGAAATTTATTAGTGATGTGTTTAAATCGGTTTTCAGTAGTTTTTTGGAATTTTAAATGCAGATATTTAAGAGTTTTGTTTTGTTTATTTTGATCATTTGTCAAAAACAACAACTACAATTAAAAACAAATTAGGTCCTTACACTATATTAATATTAATATTTCTTAGAAATTTAAATTGAAAAAACAATATTTATACCTATTTATTTTCTTGTCATAAAACCGTCTTTTAAACTAAATTTAAAACTTTACCATGATAAAAGTATTAAAACTTTTAAACTAAAGTTAAAATGACAACAATACAAATTGTAAGAAATAGTTTCCAGTCGCTAAGACGACATGCCAACAGAAATATTTTAAATGCCATAATAATTATTAAAGTCAAAAACACACAAATGGATTGTTTGATCCCATAAATTGAATAAACATTTATTTATTAGCACTAACACCAAGCGCTAAATGGCAGATATGTGTTTGTGTGTTGGTATTATACAGGCCCACTGCAGAACGTTAATTACCCTCGACATTAAATCGATGGTCAAATAATTATCCAATGTTTTGACAACCTTGAGCATACTTATACAGGGTTTTTGTCTCACCACTATCTTATAAAAGTATATATAAATTAACTAATAGGTTTTAGATGGAACAAACTAAACCTATAAAAAACTCCAAAATGTCTTTAAACTGAGTTTTTTATGAAACCTGTTTACTAAATGAGGGCCCTAGAAGATATAAGTACATTTTGTTTAGTTTTTGTTTAAATTAATTTGGAGTCAAAATTGTTTTTTATTTCAAGATGTCATGGCAAGCTTAGAATTCAGTTATACCAAGGAAAATTAACCATTTACTATCTTTTTCTGTACATAGGCTAACTACATTTTTAAATGTCACTTGTATCTTTTAGGGCCCTCAAATAATATTCGTGGTGTCATATTTTATTAATTTTCATCAACAGGTTGTTATAATTATTTAAATTGTCGGCTATGTCGAAAATTTAATAAAAAATTACACAACAGCGTTTTCTTTTTTGCTTTAATTGGATACTCATTAGTCAAGGTATTTTCAGCTGGATCTTGCGCTATAATACACTGAAAGCATGTAATATAACGTGGAATCGATTTAGTAAAGAAACTGACCATAAAAAACGTAAAAATTGATCACGGATACGTAAAATACTAATTAAAACGAAATATTCGTTTGTTTCCTACAGCACACCACAAAAATATCGTCACTTATTTGTTTACCTTTCATTGCAAGCCAGCCTGCTTAAGGAACACACAAAAACAAAAGAATACACAACACGCACTCGACATACACAAAACAAACGAAAACTCAGTCAAATAACTCTTCGATATTTCGATTGAAACCGTTTTCGGTTACGGCAAGTTCACGCGAATTCGATCTCCTTCACGAACAATGTAACTCCCCGCCCTAGAAACGCGCTATTGCTTTGACAGTCGACCATTTCCATTCCGTTTAATAAACTTTCCAACTTCCGACCCCCGCGATATCTACCGGCCAAGAAATTAACTTCGAATCGACGAAATAACGATTTTTTGCCCCTGAATCTATGCAACCCAGATTACAAGCCATAAAGAAAAATCACATCAAATAGTCGGAAATACTTATAATATTATTGCATAATTGTGTAATTGTTATTTTATTAAATAATAGACGTGCTACTCTATCAAGCACCATTTTATTTAACACAATAAGAAAGCATTAAAAATCGAGAACTTTAGGTGCTTTCACTCGCCGAAGTTGCCGTCCTGGATTTTGACATTTAAACTTAACACGTCAGGCGGCCCGTAAATTTCATTTTGTTTACCCTTTCCAAAGTAATTTAAAATGAACCAATAGACTTAAACGACCTATTTTTATACTTAAAACACAACCAATTCATTGAAAGTCGCAATGGGTACGTACTAATACTTATATTTGATTGGGGAAGAATTTTTAGGTTAATCAAAATTTTAGGTATGTTATTTAGTTACTTTAAAAGCCTCCTTGGCACAAGGGAGATGAGGATTTTGATATTAGGGCTTGATGGGGCAGGAAAAACAACAATTTTATACAGACTACAAGTGGGTGAAGTTGTTACTACGATACCCACGATAGGATTTAATGTTGAACAAGTTACATATAAAAATCTTAAGTTTCAAGTTTGGGATTTGGGGGGACAAACTAGCATAAGGTAAATTAACTGTATTTTTTTATTATACAGGGTCCTGAGTTTTCAAATAATATAGTATGTAGGTACCTAGTTATTATGGTAAAATTGATTTTAGGCCATATTGGAGGTGTTATTATAGCAATACAGATGCTATTATTTATGTAGTTGATTCAGCAGATAAGGAAAGAATGGGAATATCAAAAGATGAATTATTTCATATGTTAAGGGTATGTATGCATTATTGCCAAAAAAGAAATATGCCAAAAATAAGCTTATTTTTAAATAAATACATAATATGTAGTAATAAGACATATTATGTCTTCTATTGATTTTTTTTGCAAAAATCTTCTAAAAATTGATCAAATTACTGTATTTAAATCATCCTAAAATTATATAAAGTATTCTAGAATGTTCCGAACATTCTAGAAATTATTCCAGAATGTTCCATGCATTCAAGAAAATATTCTAGAATGTTCCGAACATTCTAGAAAATATTCTAGAATGTTCCGAGCATTCTAGAATTTATTCTAGAATGTTCCGAGCATTCTAGAAATTATTCTGGAATGTTCCGAACATTCTAGAAATTATTCTGGAATGCTAATCTTTAAATAACCCAACTTTAGGAAGAAGAACTAAATGATGCTATTCTGGTTGTGTTAGCGAATAAACAGGACATTCCAGGGTGTATGTCGCTGAAGGACGTGCATCAAGCTCTGGGCCTGGAAGCACTGAAAAACCGCACTTTCCAAATATTTAAAACGTCGGCAACTAAAGGGGAAGGTCTGGATATGGCAATGGAGTGGCTGGCAAACGCTTTGAAGAATCGTAAATAACATTTCACCGTATCATTCGCCTCTAGTCTACACACAATTTTCAGTTTTTTCATTTGTAAGATATTGCCTTATTTTTTTTCAAAATCAACTACTAAAATTATTTTATTATAATTGAATGAATGAATGAGTATGTGCTTAATAATAAATAATAATAATAAGTGTTTTTTGTGTTTTCTGCGAAGTATTCTGTATATTTTTAGTCTTCTAATGTTTATATCATTCCACAAGGTTTGTTTTACACCTATTTATTTAAGATTTAATTCATTATTATTTTCATCAAAGATTCTGAAATATATTTATAAATCATGCATCTATCTTGTATCATACATTTTGTACTATACATTATATAAATGTAGATGATGGATAAAATTCTTTTTATTTTACGTCCTACCTTTTGTATATGGGTCATTCCACCAAATAAGATTTTTAATGACTCACTGGAGATTTGAGCTCTTATTTCTTTTATCTTTTTTGTAGTGAAGATATTTTTTTAAAAACTTTTTCGTTATTTTTTTTTGGGTGTAAATAAAAATACAAAGAGTCTTGTTTTTCGTAAAAAATATTCATTCTTTATTATTCTAGCTTTGCAACATTTTTTATTTTAAATTTGATTTTTTGCATGTTTCAAAACAATTACAATTAAGAAATAAATATTAATTAATAATATATCATATCATACGGTAATCCTATATATTTAAATTGTTTTAAGTATAAAATAAACAACCTTGAACTGCAATGGAATTGTTGTTAGCTTATCTGCAACAGTATTTATTCAGTTAAAGTTAAAAATGATGTCGGACAATACGAAAATTATATACGCCGCTTCTGGTGCCCTTTTGGTGGGCTATTTAGCCTATTTGGGCATTTTGTGGGCTACAATTTTAGCCCTAATTGCCGGTTTTATAATATACAAGGTAAAATCTGTGTTGGACATTCCGGAATTACCTGTAATTGAAGAAAAGTGGTGGGGAACCGGAGAACAAAGAAAAGAAGACTCCGTGTCCGAAGAATTTAAAATTCATCTGTCAGATGAGGTAGGCATTTATATTAAGATCATATTCATGTATAGAAGGTGTCTCAAGAATTACGTAACGCAGTTTTTCAGACATAAAGGTGAATTTGTAAAATTCCAAAGTTTTCTTTCCCCTTAGCAGGAGTTATTTCATTTTTAAGGCCGCTAATTTTGACTTGGCGCATACTACAGTACACATACTACAGTACACCATCTGGTGCCCTACCCTGTATTATTATTTTTAATATCAGATAATCAACGGCTTATCTAAAATACGGCAGTATTCCTAAATAGTCTAACTTGTTTGCACTATTTATTTAATAGAAATAATGTCAGACAATACTAAAATTATATATGCGGCTTCTGGTGCCCTAGTGGTAGGCTGTTTAGCCTATTTGGGCATTTTGTGGGCTACAATATTAGCCCTTATTTCCGGTTTTGTAATATACAAGGTAAAATCTGTGTTTGAAATTCCGAAATTACCTGTAATAATTGAAAATAAGTGGTGGGGAAACGGAGAACCAACAGAAATGGGCCTGAAGAAAATCAAATTTGAAATTCATCTCTCAGATGACGTAGAAGTATATTTAGATCACCACACAAATATTCATTTATCTTTTTTAGAATTTAAACTATCTCAAAACCAGTCTTAAAAACTCAAGGCCCCTAACACCGCCTCTGGAAAACGCGGCCCAAGAATACGGCATGAACACGAACCTTCTACGGGAAATTCTGGAGTTCTGGAACACGGCATACGACTGGAGGGAACGCGAAACTTTTTTAAATCAGTTTCCGCAATATAAAATCAACATACAGGGGCTTAAGATGCACTACATCCATGTTAAACCTGAGAATAAAAATAACAAGAAGGTTCTGCCGCTACTTTTGGTGCATGGCTGGCCCGGATCTGTAAGGGAGTTCTACGAAATGGCCCCCATGCTTACCAGAGACGACCCCGGTAGAAATTTTGTGTTTGAGTTGGTTATACCGTCATTGCCAGGTAAAATAAGTGTAGGTATTGGGGATAAACAAACTATAAAATATTTTAGGGTATGGTTTTTCTGACGGAACATCCAAGAAAGGCCTGGACCAAGTAGAAGCCGCTATTATTTTGAAAAATCTTATGAAAAGTGTTGGATTTAACAGGTTTTATATACAGGGGGGTGACTGGGGGTCGGTAGTTTGCACAAATATGGCCACATTGTATCCTGAACATGTAATAGGGATTCATACTAATATGCCTGTTTCTATGACCCTAAGAGCCACTATTTTAACGGCGGTTGGCATGGTATTTCCTCAATTGGTCGTAGAAAATAAACATAGGAACAAAATGTATCCAATAAAGTATAATTATGATGAGACTGCTTATGCTCACTTTCAACAAACGAAACCTGACACTATTGGTGATATTTTATTTTTCTATTGTTTATAAATCTAACTCGGACAATTTTTTTCAGGAGTTGCATTAAACGATAGTCCCATTGGTTTGGCAGCTTACATTATAGAGAAATTTGTCACATGGACCAAATTAGAAAACAAGAAAAAAGTTGATGGGGGTCTAAAAGAAAAATGGGACTATAAAAAGTTATTGGATAACGTGATGATTTACTGGATTAACAATTGCATCACAACATCAATGAGATTTTACGCCGAGTTTAAAAACAGTAAACAGGAGAAAATCCTAAATAAGTACGAAAGCCTAAAAATGTAAAAAAAATACTTTCACATTTTTTAGGATCCCAGTCAAGGTACCAAGCGGCTGCGCAAGATTCTCAAACGAAATATTTTACATGCCCGATTTACTTCTCGAAGATAAATTCCCGAATTTAATTCACTCATCTGAACTCGAAGGAGGCCATTTTGCCGCATTTGAAGTTCCCGATGTTTTGGCCAAAGATATTATAGAGTTTGTCCAGAAAGCTGAAAGAAAATAGACGATGAGAACATTCTAGAATTTTTTCTGGAATGTTCCCGTTTTTTTAGAATGTTCCCGACTTTCTAGAATGTTCCATTTAAACAAGGGAACATTCTGGAAAGTGTAAAACATTCCAGAACAACTTACCTATGTAACCATTTTAGTTTGGAATTGTAAAAAAACATGTTTGTTATAAAAAATAACTTTTATTACTTAAACAATAAAAATACTCAAAAATACAAGTTTAAAACAGCTCTTCTTGCACCATGGGCTCGCCAAATCTTGCAATCTTACTCTTAGTACCTTGTAACTCGACTTGTACCTTCTTTCTGATATAAAAAATTGGACAATCTCTGCTGGTGCACAAAATCTCTTCGTGTAAAGACCCCTGGCATCTTTGACACTCGGTAAAAAGTTCGGAAAATCTGTCCTCCAACATTCTATGATGACACAATTCTTGCTGGTAGATTTCGCTCTCCCGCGGCTTACAATACGCGCAAATCGCTTCTTGTTCGTAGCCTTTCGCCAAAACCGACTTGCAACCAATACAAGTCTCCTTTTTCTGCGTAAAAGCCGCCAGCGCACCAACTTTCGAGGTTATCTTTGCTTTGGTTCTCGTATGATCGCCACCTAAAGAAATAAGAGAACATTACAGAATTTTTAAGAAAATCCTTGTCGAACACTCACGCAGCAGTATAGATTCCGTGTTGTCACCCAAGACAGGTTCAAAAATCCTCACCAAAGGCTTGGAGATTTGGTTGTCGAGATAATAGGAAGAATCTATGGGTATGTTGTTTTCCAGCACGAAAATTGGATCCTATTGACAAAAATTAGTCATTCTAGAATGTTCCAAACATTCTAGAAATTATTCTGGAATGTTCCAAACATTCTAGAAATTATTCTGGAATGTTCCAAACATTCTAGTAATTATTCTGGAATGTTCCAAACATTCTAGAAATTTTTCTAGAATGATCCAAACATTCTAGAAATTTTTCTAGAATGATCCAAACATTCTAGAAATTTTTCTAGAATGATCCAAACATTCTAGAAATTATTCTAGAATGTTCCAAACATTCCAGAAATTATTTTTCTCTGTTAACTCACTTCGGCTTTTTCGAAAGCCTTGGCGTTTTTGGCGCCAGCAACAATGACGTACGGGATGCGGTCGCCCAATTTCGGCGCGTTTCCGGGGTCTCTTTTCTTCATCTTGGCGGCCAATTCGACGTGAGCCTGTTTGGCTGCGTAATCGCTTTTGGTTAGTTCCTTTGTGATGACCAATTTCGATATGTCGACGTTGTTTTGGAGCAAGTCCGAGATGACCAGTTTCGCGTAGTTGATTGCTCCGTCGGGATCTCTTAAATATAATGTTTAAGTACGGAAAAAATTTTTTAAAGAGTGGATAAATACCTGTCAATTAAAAGTTTTTGCAGACAAGTATTGATAACGTCCACCACGAGAGTACAGTTATCTCTTCTGACTGTTTCAATGCCCTTACAGTCCATTTTATCGTATTTTTCGGGAGTTGTAAAGTATAACCCGGCATAACGTTTTTTGTTAATCAATAAATAGGGGAAATAAACCTAAAATCATAATTGTACGTTACTCAATCTCAGGGAACATTACAAGAACATTACCTTCTCGAATTCAAGTTTAATAGGCTTTATAAACTTGGCACTTATCAATTCTGCTGCTTCTCTACCTAATTCCATGCTTCTCTCTAAAGTTTTAACCTTAAAGTTCACCATAACGGAATCGGTATCACCGTAAATAACTTTGGCGTCGGTTTCGTAGCCATTTTCTATTCGGTAATGTTGTTCCACTTCTTGTTTGGTTTGCTCTATCATCGTACGCCCGTATGCGGTTACACTCTACATGAAAACATAGAAAAAATGTTCCATTTATGGTAGAACATTATAGAAAAGGTACTATGATGTTCCCAGGGCGATTCTTAAGGTTTTTTAGGCCGTGAAACCTTATAGAATGTTTTTGCACAGTAAAAACACTTATTGAATTTTATAATGTTAACGTTGCTTCTAAACTACATATATTTCTAAAAGATCAAGTCATGGAATATTCTAGAATGTTTTCCAAACACTTTCTAGAATGTTCCCTTTGGATTAAGCATTTTAGAATGTTCCATGCGAAGTAAAAAGAGAGATAACGTACCCCGGATATTTCCAGACAGGGTAATTTTCCCACTTGTGCGCCAGTAAAACCGTATACAGAGTTGGCGGATATTTTGTAAGCCAACTGTCTACCATTCAGGACTGTTTTCATTATGGAATCCGTTTCGTCCTTAAGCAAAGCTTTGGTCTTCTTTCTAGCCGATAACAAATGTTGAAGTAGTTGCGGCAACAAACCCGGCCGCACCGTAGATTTGACAAACATGCATTCGGCCGGCGTGAATGTTATTTGATCGTTGGTAAGACTAAAAAAACAACAAAATCACCCCAACATCGCGACTCGAACGATATTGTTACCCAAGCGATTTTCTCATAGGTTCTCTCAGCAGAGTGGTGTAGCACAGATTGTGCGCAATCATGATGCTGGGATACAGCGAGCTGAAATCGAGGGTGGCTATGGGATCCGTGTAGTAGCCTCTGATCGGCTCGATGACGGTGGCGCCCTCGTACTGTTCGGAACTAGGCGCGCCGTGATGCGTCGGCATGAAGTAGTTTTGTTTTCTCGCCTTAAGTGACAATTTGAAGCGTTTTAATGCGAATAGAACATTCTAGAATGTTTTCTAGAAGGTCCCCCTCTGTGTTGGAACATTCTAGAATGTTTCAATATAAATGGAACATTCTAGAAAATATTCTAGAATGTTCTAATATGAATGGAACATTATAGAATGCAAATGGAACATTCCAGAAAATATTCTATAATGTTCCAATACAAAGGGAACATTCTAGAAAATATTCTAAAATGTTCCATTATCAGGAAAAGGTTAATTTGTGTCGAGATGGTAGGAAACAAAGTTTGTGTATGTGTTAAGTGTATATTTTGCATATATTATATTATTACAATATTATATAATGAATAATATAATATATGAAACTACACTATAAAAATTAACAAAAAATAGTCATAAATATAATATAAACAATATTCTTTAGTCCAAACCTCCGATTTTTGCATCTTTTTTATTCTAAAATGTACAAAAACCGAAATAACATACAGGTTGTTTAAAAATCGCCCGGCAAACAAAAAACTTGGTTCTAGAAACATTTTTCGTTTGTCGGGAGAGTTTTTAAATGATAACTTACGCAAATATATTTTTTAGAACGTTTTATTTATATTGGAACCTTATAGAACATATTCTAAAATGTTTCACTATAAATGGAACATTCTAGAAAATATTCTATAAGGTTCCAATATAAATGGAACATTCTAGAAACATTTTTCTTTTGTCGGGAGAGTTTTTAAACGAGAACTTACGTGTCTTAGAAGTTGCGCCACAACTTTAACCTGCTCGCCTTTGGTTATCAAACTGGTAATTGGTACGCCTGTAACCCTGGCCATTTCGACGTCGTTCGTGAAACTTTGGACGGTTCTGAGCAACCTTAGCGGTAACTCGGCGTCTTTTAGACAGTACACTGCCAACCTAACCGAGAAAAGTGAGATTAGTTTTTGAAGTGCGCTCTTTTAGACCTTTTTACCTTCTTCTTGTCTGTTCGTCGCCATTTTGCAAGTCGGTGATGATGCTGTAGTGCACGTCCTCCTTTTGCTCGCCCAGAATTTCGGTGCAGACGCTGTTGAGAGTGTAGGATCTCAACTTGAAGTCCCTCTTCATGATTAGAAACACGTCGTAGGGCACTCTGCCCTCGAAATTGATGGTTTTGTAGGTTCTCTTGCCGATTTTGGTTTGCGTGACGGTTTCCTTGACTTGCGACCTGGTGTTCAAAATTCTGCTCAGGTAGTCGAACTGCGGTAGCTTCAAGTGCTTCGCTCTGTCGAGCAGAAAGGGGAAGTCGAAGTTGTTGATGTTGTAGCCGGTGAAAATGTCCGGATCCACTTCTCGAACGAAATCGGCCCAGGCGTTTAGCATGTCTTCCTCTATTTCAAACGATCTGACTTCGGCATGGCCAATGGGCGCGCAGGATTTTAACGTGAAAATGTTACGACAAACTACGTCTTCGTGCTCGCCGTGCAGAGCAACCACGTTGGCTATTTGAATTATTGGGTCTACGTTTGCTTCAGGAAAAACACCTACGTCCAGAAAAAAATTGGATCAAATTTAAGGAACAATAATCTATATGGAACATTGTAGAAAACAATCTATAATGTTAAAAATAATATGCCACAATAAAACATTTTAATAATTATTCTCTACAATGTTCTCTTACTTAAGAAACATAAATTATTCTAAAATTGGCAGTATACTTATTTAATTTCTAGAATGTTTTACATTAAAGGAAACATTTTGAAAATTGTTCTAGAATGTTAAAGACGTTATATAGAATGTTTACCTTTCAATATGGCACATTCTAAAAATATTCAAGAATGTTCTACCCTAAATAAAATAAGTATAAAATGTACTGTAACTGTTCTAGAAACTATTCCATCAAACATAAAACATTTTATAGACTTCTACAAAATATTTTATAAGGTTTTACTGCATAAAAACATTAACTACTTAACATTTAAACTTATAGAAAATATTCTAAATATTTATTAAATTAAAGGAACATTAAAAAAAAATGTTTAAATTTTGAAAACAATATTCTAGACTTGTTTTCTTTATATGGAACATTTTAGAAAACTTTTTATTGTGTTCAAAAATATTATCACTTATAAAATTTAAATAAGTTTTCTAGAACACAAGAAACATTACAGAAATTATTCTAAAAATCTCAAATGGTTTATTAGCAGTATACTTATTAAATTTCTAGAATGATTTACCTTGAAGGAAACATTTTGTAAATTGTTCTAGAATGGTAAACATGTTATATAAAATGTTTAACTTTCAATATGGAACATTCTAGAAAAACTCAAGAATGTTCTACCTTAAATAAAATATTTATAAAATTTACTGCAAACGTTCTAGAAAATATTTTATATTAATTCAAAAAAATATTTTTCCTGCATAAAAACATTATTTAAAATTCCCAGAATATTTAAACTTGCAAAAAACATTATAAATATTCATTATATTAAAAAAAACTTCTACAATATAAATAAAATGTTATAATATAACTTTTAGAAACAATATTCTAGACTTGTTTACTATAGGTATATGGAACATTTTAAAAAACTTTTTATTGTGTTCAAAAATATTATACCTTATAAAATTTTAATATAATATTTTTTCCAAAATGTTCCACTAAACAAGTTTGAAAATTGAAAATAACATAGAATGTTTAACTGTTAATTTGGAATATTCCAGAATGCTTAAAACATTTAAAATTTCCGAAATATAGTAAACATTCCATATACCTACTCATTAAATTTAAGAAAGCTATAATTTTTCTAGTGTTATAACATCTGAAACCATTATAGAAATTATTAAAGATTGTATTACTGTATAATGTATACTTTTTAAATTTCTAGATTGTTTTACCTTGTAGGAAACTGTTTGTAAATTCTTCAAGAATGTTATAAAAATAATAATGTTTAACTGTTAATTTGGAATATTCTAGAAATGTACTGTAAGCGTTCTAGAAAATGTTTCAACATTTCATAATACTAAAAATATTTACAATGCATAACACATTTAAAATTTCCGAAATATAGTAAACATTCTAAATATATCATTAAATTAAAGAAAGCTATAATATTTCTAAAATGTTATAACATCTGAAAACATTATAAAAATTATTCAAGATTGTACTACTACAAAGGAAACATGTTTCAATGTAGAGGGGTTATTCTAGAAATTATTCTAAAAATGTGTGAACATGAAAAAAAATATTTGTAAGTTATTATATGAGAGAATCGTTTTTAATCGTCATATATTGGTTTACTGTCAAAAGAATATTCTAGAAACATTTTCTAAAATGTTCACCAAATTGTTACCACCAAAAACGTTATTATAAGTAAATAGAATGTTTTACAGTAATGAAACCTTCATTTTATATTTCTAGTATATTTTAACTTTTATAACATTAACATCATAAAAAAATATAAAATTAATTTTAGAATGTTCACTTAAAGTTGAAAATTTAATATTAATAGAAAAAGTATTATTATTAATTATATATAATATATTAATATTTTAGAATGTCTACTTTCCAATTATTCTAAAATATTCAACTCTAAAGAACTTATATATTGTGGGAACATTCTAGAACAAATAATTCTAGAATGTTCACTTTTAAGAAAGAATTCCTACCTTTCCTTCCAGCACATTCGATATCAAAACTATGTATTCTAAATTTAGCTACTGATGCCCATTCTGGGTCTTCTGGGTCATGGGATATGAAATCTTCATAGGAAACATCGATTTCTATTTGGCATCTGGATGTTATAGGAAAATTTGATGTTTTTGTCCTTAAATGCCATTTACCACCGGGTATTTGAATCCAACAACAACCCAGAATGTTTCTATCAACCATAAATCTAAAAGAAGTTATTGAAGAGAGATAATATTTTTTTAATATATTTTACCTTGTTTCTATGTCAACATTGGCCTCGTAAACGTTAAAAACGTGGTTTTGGAGAGGTTCATACACAATCTGCGTTGTTAATAATCTTTTTGTAGCCGGTATAAATTTAGGTAGTGCAACAGTGATTTTGGCAAATGTCAAATCATTTTCCCCCGTATATTCGCACAAAGATTTACCCTTAACAATCTCAACCATCAAACAAGCCTCTGAAATGTTTTCCTTATTTCCTTTCATGTCCGCCAATAGAGAATCATTGAGTTTGTTCTATGTAGAAAAAATGTGTAAAAATTGAAAAAACAAAACCAATATAAGTAAATGTAGTTACCCTAAATTTTCCCAGATCCTCCTGTTTAAAATCATCGGGTAAATTAACGTATAAATACGGCGAAAAACCGTGAACATGACAACAAACGCTATTTCCGTTTTTATTAATACCAAACATTCTCATAATCGGGACCATGCCCGATTGTGCCCCTGGCATACCAGGGTAAACACTTCCCACATAAAAATCCAACTCCAACTCTTGAAAAATTAAATCATCATTTTTGTTGAGATCCCCAACCGGGGGGCGAAAGAATGGATCATTTCTATAAAGAAATAAGGTTATTTTTTGAATTAATACAATTTTTGTATATTTTGTTTAACTCACTTAAATTTCTTTGATCCTTTCGAGCCAGCATCGTTTTTGCGCTTCGATGCCATCGTATTTTATAGATAAACGGTATTAAATTAACACAAAAAGAACAGATTACAGAATGATGTTATTTCGCGCTTTTTTTAATGTCATTTCTAACCGTAGTCGTTTGAACTACTGCATATAACAAAAGTACTACCGTCAGAGTTTTTGTGAAATAAATACTCTTTAAGTGTTTACCCATACAAAAAATGTAACTTTGGATGAAGAATTTTAAATTATTATTTAATTGTGCAATATTATTTAATAAAACTTGTTATTAAAGAATTTTTTAACGTTGATGCTGTGCTGCCATCTATGTATTTTTATTTAAATTTTTTAGTTCAGTAATTCGCTGTTAGATGGCGCGCAGTGTAAGAACTCGTTTTAATTCGTTCATTTCATAGTAGATGGCGTTGATAATCAAAAATTTGAAAAATAAACTATAAAATAATGTTTTACTTAAAAATAAATGTGTTTTCTTATTGAATGTTTCTTAAATTCAATGTTATTTCTTTGTAATAAATTTTAATTAAAAATAATTGGATTTTGGAGCGGTTATTGCAATAAAATTGAATTACAATTGTATAAAGTCGAGTGTTTGGGTCCCCCATGGAAAAATTAAAGTTCACACACCGTAATCGAGTGATATTAATGATCATTGCAGCGAAAATTTCGATTAAACTCCCTGGCATTTTCTACGTGGTGTGAGGACATGTGCGGTTCTTGTGCCTCAAATGACAGATGTCCGAATAGTTTCCCCTCTCGTCGTGGGGCGCGTGTCTGCATGCAGCGGCGTGGGGGGAATAAGGGGGGTCGGCTCCCACGAATCGCAGTTCTTTTGTCACGGGCTGCGCTAATTTACAAAGCAATACGTACTTAATGCAGTTTGATCGCTGCACGATAATTGCTTTGGTATTAGGATTACAGCTTATGGAGTTTCGCATGATGGGAATTGATGAGAGGTTTTTGTGTTGGGATTTTAATAAAAAAAAGAAAAATTCAAGTAAATTTTTATTTTGTGCTTCTATTAACTAAGTGATATACATATATTCATGCATATAAAATAAAATAAACGATAATTTGAGAAAAAAAAAATGAACTTTTGTAATGATTTTTAAAGATTTTTAAAAATATTGTAAATATCACAAGTTGTTTGCTTTACTTGGATTTTTTTTATATAAATTATTTGTTTACAGACCAATTTCGAAAAAAAAATATTTTTGTACCCTGCCTAAATAACATTTTAATGACATAAGAAAATAATTTAGAATTTTACACATTACAACATAAAAATCTTACATTGTTGCATGTCTATTTATTGGTAAGTTGATGTTTGTTTGTCATATGGAAAGATTTAAACGACATCGGAAAAAAAAATTTATTTTTTTCCATTTTTTGTAACTAGACAAATAGGTAATTTAGATGATATCCAATAAAAAAAAATTAACTTGTGCATTACACATGGTTACTATGTTAACAATTCAAATCATAACAAATTTTAATTATTACATTTTACAACGTCATTAAAAATTGTTCTTATGTTTTTATATAAATAAATAGGCCCAAAACATTAAAATATTAAAAACCGATTTTTTCTGTAATTCATAATTTTATTTTTTTTATTTGGGTGACTATAATGAGATTTCCCCCAAGAATTTTAAGAAATCATACATTTTGAATATTAGAGCTTCACGGAGGTTAGGATTTCGTATGTTTTTTAAAAACATCCCTTTGTATATTTGAAATAAGTTATTGTATCTTTTGACACCTTAATATTTTTAAAAAATACAATTGTACATACAAAAAATATTTTAAAAAAATCTACTTACTGAGATATTACACTTCACGGTGGATAGGTTTTTAAATAGCAAATTAATGAACTTAAACTTTTGAATTATAAAACAGCAAAATGTCGTAAACAGAGTTTTTGCTTATTTAAAATGAATAAAGCGAATAAAACAGATTCACGGAGGATAGAATCAACCTACATAAAGGGTTTAAAAAAATATTTTTTTAATTTTTAATTATATTTTATATTTGATTAGATTGCTTTGGATGTGTTTAATTTACTTGGTGAACATTCACGGAGAATAGGTTTTAGACTTTTAAAACATTGTAAAAAATAATTAATTGCGGTTAAAAATCTGGAACCTGAGCTGTAATATCTACTTAATTACACAATAAGATTCACCCATACATACATACCTATAGGTACTTTTCTTGATCTAAATTTCAATTTTTTTTAAGAACTTTTTTATTCATCATGATTTTTAAACACTACCTTTTTCTATAAAGAAAAATACAAGAAGGTACATAATTATAATTTAAAATACACACACCAAGAACATATTTTCATTATTAAACAAAATATTATTTCTAAATTAATTTTCAAGAAACTAGTTTTCTGCAGTAAACTGCAAAAATAAACATTTAAAATCATCTTTCTAATCCCGTATCAAATTCCCTGCAATTCCCTCATCAAAAATCCTCTTTCCACTATCCCCGATCTTTGCCACTGTACCCAACATTCTAACAAAAAAAATGAAATCATCTCGTCAGCTGAACCGGCGTCATTACGCGTACGTTTATCCGCGTACACGTGTCTTTCGATGAGGGACCGTTTAATTGACCCTTTTTATTTGTTATTTATTCCATTGACGCTCGCCCCCCCCTGCCGAAAAACCGAAACGTGTCTGTACATCTGCCCCGAGGCAGATGCATGGATTTTTCATTGTTTCGCACGTGCCCTGAAAGTCCCACTTTTCCTACGGCCCCGCGTAATGATAACACGCTTTTGCAGCGCGTAATCCGTTACTTGCATTTCATTGAAATGTATATTTTCGTATGACCTTTTGTCAAATAAGGGTGGATTATTACCTATAAAAGATTATTTATTTTTGATGTTTTTTTTTACAAAATAAACGCTACAGTTTTAGTTAGTACTATACAGGGTGTTATGTAATTAATGTAATATATTAAAATACTTTTGACATGAGGTGTAAAGGTTTTTCATATTGTTTTCAATTTGTGTAAATAAATTCAAAAGCACTTCCCTTAGTTAAGATATTTACAATTTGGGCCCATAACCTAAAATTTTAAAGAAATGCACTAGATTCTGTCATAGTTGCCAGATTTTGTTTAAATTTACCTTCATTACAAAATGACATAATCAACAATTAATAAAAAAGCCAAATTAACAATTTGTATTGTTGATTTTGTGATTTTTGTAATTAAGGTGAATTTAAACAAAATTTGGCAACTTTTTTTCCTAAATCCTTTAGGATAGAAATATTATAAAAATAGGTATAGTGTTTTTTTCAAACTAAAGTAAAATGACACTTTTTTACATTATGACATTGTTAAAGTTTTACCTCACTTTTTTCAATTTAAAAGATCATTATTTAAATTATAAATATTATCAAAAAAAATATTGTTTTTTTACTTATTATATTTTTAAATATTAAAGTGCCTTTTTGTGACTAGTTTGTATTTGCGATGCTATTCAATTAATTGTATTATTTAAAAACATAACCAATGTATAAGCGCCTCTGAGAACCTAAAAGTCAATAAAAAAATAATTAATTCATTAAAAAAAAAACAAAAATAAAAAGTTATTTTACCGATAGTGCGGTTACGTTGGACATACTGTAAAAATCCCCCACTTTCAACACCAGAGGTTTTTGACATCTTGTCATTGTCAAAATTATCATTTTTCTTACCGCTATTGGCTCAGTGTACCAGGGGCCGTCGAAAAGTGATTGTTTTATTAATTCACTCTGAAAAAATAAATAAATAATATATAAAATAATAAAAATGCATTATGTTCTTTTGACATTTCGTGACATTTGTGCATTTTAAGATAATATTAGGAATATATAATACCCGTTTTTGGTTTTTTACCGTTGAGTTGAGACTTTCTCAATCAAGACAAAATTGAATGTTTGAATACCTAGTGGTCATTTTTTATTTTTGAATAGGTAATTTGGCAATCAATGTAATATTTTTATTATAAACCAACAGCAGTCTTTCTTACCTCACTGATTATAATGTTTGCAATCCAGTATAACACAAACAACTGTATTAAATTGACCAAAACTAGGCACATGTCAAACAACAGAACTAAATTGATCTCGCTCTGAAAAAATTGATTATTTAACTTACCAATATTAGTTTAATTACTTACCAATATTAGTTGTACGCACAATGAAGCCAACTGTAGAGAAATCACAAAAAATTCTATTAAATTGAGAACTTTTAATGATTTGTTAAGGGTAAAACAAAATCTAAAACAAAAAAATCTGTAAGAGAACTTTACTTTACCTTGATTGGTGAATCTGTCTTGTTTAAGTCAATTTTCTATAATTTGTTGGAAACAGTAAGATTTTATTTTTAACCATTTGCACCATATTGTCAAGAAAAGAGTTGAAATATGTTGTTAAAAATATTTCAATATTTTATTCCTTTGTACAATTTTTTAAATAATTTATAAAAATATAGTATAACTTTGAGTTAGAATATAAATTTTACAATGTTGGACAATTTGTTCGGGTGTGAAGCATCACACCACCTAAGATAACCAATGAAATGATTTCCCGCTTAAAATAAGACGCCGGCCGGTCGCTCAACTGCAATCTGCATCATCAGTTTGCAGTTTTGGTTGGTGTTAGGAAGTGTATCATTGTGAGGTTAGTACCACATTTCTGGTGAGTAATTATTGAATATTATTTTTCCGAATAGGTATAGGATAAATCAATAATTATGACCTGGTGATCAAATGAGGATAAAAAGTGTTTCTATGTTCCTACTGTGCTACATTATTGATCAGCTTACTATTTACTTTAGTTTGTAATTTATGTTTATTATATATAGTAAAAATAAAATGAAAGACTTCAAAAACGTTTATTTATTTTTCAACAAAAGTACCAACAACAAAGGCACAACTAATGCACATAACATACTACTAAAACTATGAGCATATGTTTTTGAATTTTCGGGATATGTATTGCAAAAATCAGTTTTGCAGAATTCGCATTTAATGATATGAACCTCATCATCTACTTTATTAGATTGTTTTACAATTTTAGCACAATATTCATCTGAGGCATCTTCTTCAGTGTTACACTCCATGTGGATCATATTAGTTAGTTTCTCTTTAGGAATGCCTAAAAGTTGCTCACATTTTTCAGTTAGAACGTTCTTCTTGGAGAATTGGTAATGTTAAAATAGTTACCTTCAACATTATATGTATATTCAACCTCCAAACATGATTTTTGTGTTTCAGGACAATCTTTTTTTTCAGGAGCATACTGGACACAATTTAAACAGATTATAGATTTTATCCCGCAAAATATTATTAATATAAAAACTCCTAACATGCTTTGACAAATAAAACGTCAATATTTTTAATCTAGATCCCATTTTGATCAGACAGTAAGGACTAGTTCGTCTGATCAAGTTTTATTTCCAAAGTTTTGAAAATCGCTGGTAGCGACCTTTAAACCTTGATTAATTTTGCTTTAATTTTAAGTATGTTCTGTGTCATGGTCCTGACAGTAGCATCTTAATTGTAGTGTTAAACAAAAACGTGTTAAAGTTGCCTTAAACGTTTTTGAGTCTAAATCAGCAATTTAGCAGCATTTGGTGGCCTTTTTACGAATATAGTCAATTTAGTAGAAATTATGCCTCCAATATATCGCCGCTGAATATGACTGGACGTCATATTAAGTCTTTGCATCCTTCATCTAATTAAGTCGAAACTTACCCTATGACTTGTTGGTATTCCATAATGCCCATTTTTACCCACAAATACGAGGCTTCATCCATTGAAATCCAATACTTTTTGGCCAAAATTTCCTTAAAAACGTCGGATTTCTTGAACCAACTCTGCAAAATTTTGAGCTGCCCAATGGAGAAACACATCAGCAAAATAATGAGGCTGTTGGTAGTGATGTAGAAAAAGCTCGTGACCAGTCCAATCACGCAATCATAGACGTAGAGAATGTAGTATTTATACGTGATAGTTTTGTCTAGGAAAACGTAGTGACGAAGAGGTAGAGGTCTTGTTAGTCTACCTTCAGGGGTGGTGGTATCCCACAGTATTAGAAACTGAAGCGTGCATGTTATAGAAAAAGTCAGGTAAGTTATCAGACTTCCTCTCATAAAGTATTCCGAGTACAATTTGGCTTCATCGGAATAGGACTGCAAGATATCTTTAAACTCTCCATAATCACCTTCTTCTATCTGTTTCTCTTTGAGGTAAACATACCTGAACAGCTTCCTCATATCCTTGGATTTTATTATTTTGACTTTATACAAAACCGTGACATACAAAAATATGATTATTTCAGTGATTTGCCGTGGGTCCCTGATGGAAATAATTTTAGCAAACTCAGCGAATTGCAGAAACGTGAAAATCGCGTACATCCAAAATGGTACACCGGTATAAATCTTGTAAATGCCCCTCCATTTCTGCGATATTCTCCCCACAGGCCACAACCCAACCAAAGTTAGAAGATACGGCAAAAATCTGTGCAAATGATTGTTGAACATTTTCTTCGAATTGACGAGGAAAAATTAAGTTCAGGCTTTTATACCAAGGCTTTGTTAAATATTAAAATTATTGTTTCCAACTGTTTTCTCCAGGGCGAATTTAATTTGGGGTTTGAGGAGATTTAATAATAGGTATACGTAATACGTGTATAATATATAAACTTATAAGTTTAATTTGTTTTGAGAGTGTTGGGTGTTATAAAATACATATTTAATGAAGAACGACTTTAAAAAGAAGTCCGTAGTTGTTTCATGTAAAAAGGAGGTATAATAATGTCTTGAAGGAAAAAAAGTATCGACATCGGACGAAAACCATTGTCAAGGATATTAAGTATACTGCTTTTTGATGTCGAATTGCAATATATATGTGACTATTTAAGGAGTGCTAGAGGTCAGTATTAACTTAAAAATTTCAAATGTAAAGGGGGACTTGTGATACCTTATTTGAAAGGTATTATTATTCTTCCATTACAATTTTTAAGTTGATACTGCCTTCTTGGCACCTCTTGATGTGGCACCTATCAATTTTACGTCAAAAAGTAGTATACTTAATATCCTTAACAATGGTTTATGTCTTTTAACGTGGGCACTGTACCTTTGATTACTTATTAGACTGCAGGCAGATTCTGGTAGATCCCATTTTGATCAGACAGTAAGGACTAGTTCGTCTGATCATCAAGGAATGCGATTTTCAACATTTGATGAATTTTTTAAGTTTTATTTCCAAACATTTGAAAATCGCTGGTAGCGACCTCTAAACCTTGATTAATTTTGCTTTACTTTAAGTATATTCTATGTCATGGCCCTGACAGTAGCATCTTAATTGTTGTGGTAAACAAAAATGCGTTAAAGTTGCAGTACCTTAAACGTTTTTAAGTCTAAATCAGCAAATTAGCAGCATTTGGTGGCCTTTTTACGAATATAGTCAATTTAGTAGAAGTTATGCCTCCAATATATCAACGCTGAATATGACTGGACGTCATATTAAGTCTTTGCATCCTTCATCTAATTAAGTCGAAACTTACCCTATGATTTGTTGGTATTCCATAATGCCCATTTTTATCCACAAATACGAGGCTTCATCCATTGATATCCGATACTTTCTGGCCAAAATTTCCTTAAAAACGTCGGATTTCTTAAACCAACTCTGCAAAATCTTCAGCTGCCCAATGGAGAAACACATCAGCAAAATAATGAGGCTGTTGGTAGTGATGTAGAAAAAGCTGGTGACCAGTCCAATCACGCAATCATAGACGTAGAGAATGTAGTATTTATATGTGATGGTTTTGTCTAGGAAAACGTAGTGACGAAGAGGTAGAGGTCTTGTTAGTCTACCCTCCGGGGTGGTGGTGTCCCACAGTATTAGAAACTGAAGCGTGCACGTTATAGAAAAAGTTAGGTAAGTTATCAGACTCCCTCTCATAAAGTATTCCGAGTACAATTTGGCTTCATCGGAATAAGACTGCAAGATATCTTTAAACTCTCCATAATCACCTTCTTCTATCTGTTTTTCTTTGAGGTAAACATACCTGAACAGCTTCCTCATATCCTTGGATTTTATTATTTTGACTTTATACAAAACCGTGACATACAAAAATATGATTATTTCAGTGATTTGCCGTGGGTCCCTGATAGAAATAATTTGAGCAAACTCAGCGAATTGCAGAAACGTAAAAATCGCGTACATCCAAAATGGTACAACGGTATAAATCTTGTAAATGCCCCGCCATTTCTGCGATATTCTCCCCACAGGCCACAACCCAACCAAAGTTAGAAGATACGGCAAAAATCTGTGCAAATGGTTGTTGAACATTTTCTTTGAATTGACGAGGATAAATTAAGTTCAGGCTTTTATACCAAGGCTTTTGTTAAATATTAAAATTATTGTTTCCAACTGTTTTCTCCGCGGCGAATTTAATTCGGGGTTTAGGAGATTCAATAATTTATGTTTAATTTGTTTTGAAGTTGCAATTGGTGTTTTAAAATTCTCAGTTGAGACTAATGAGTTGTAATTTGAATTAATACTTAATAATAGCTTATTTGACTAATAAGATATGTTAGAACGTAATACTGAGGTCTTGAGATCGAATCAAACATTTCCTTTCCAAAGGTTCTGCTAAATTTGAATTCGACGTTAGAATTGTTTGCACCCCATTAACGGATTAGGGAACTTTGTCTGGACCTGTTAGTTCATCGGTTCGGTCGTTGTACGCAGGCACAAACAATAATAGAGTAAATAAAATAGCGCCTCTGGTGAGTGACCTTGGTAATCAATAACTAACTAAAACTTGAGTTAAATCAGCGGCGGATTAAATCACTTTTGGGTTTTAATGGAAGTTTTTAGTCATGTATATATGTATATATATTACATATAAAGTAAATTTTACCAAACAAAAATTAAAGAGAACCAACTAACTCAATAAAGAAATTCTTTGCGTTCTTGTGCAGTATACTGGAAATAGCTAGACCCCACTTTTATTTAATAAATAATTAATTTACGATTTATTTGAAATCCCCCTGTCCCGGATTAGACCCCAAGATAATAAGTTTCACTCCCACTAAAATCCAGACGCTGAGCTATTGAAAGCAGTGACTAAAAGACATCGCAGATTTTTCGGCACAACGTACAGTGCCAAATTTTGAAAAAAAGTTAATCAAAAAAACGTTTTGTTAAGAGTTTAATAAGGTTTTATAAAATCGCCGTTAAGTTTACTAGTTTTATAATGGTCATATAAGGTTACTGTAAACTCTAGACAGCTGTTTACCTAGGTATATAATTAGGTTAATTAATTGTTTCTACAAACATTTTATATAACCTTTAGTAACCGTTACCAGTAGGTTTATAAAGGAGTTTTATAAAGTTTGCGGTTACCTGTTTAATAAAACCATTGTGTCTTTAATTTTTTTAAATAAAAATTGTGACTTATTAATTATTTATGTGCTTAATAAACCAAAAAAAAGCTAATACTAATTAGCTTTCATAATTTTAATTAAAAATTGGTTGATAAGAAAATATTTAGCATAAAATATAACATTATTAACATAAATATTTTAAAATGTATATAAGAGTTTCAAAATTATATAACAACACTTTAAGTAACGTAGATAGTCCTATAAAACTGAACTAGTACCTTAGGTTATATAAAATTACCATGAGCAATATAAGACCAAACCAAGGAAAATTGTACCACTGTACGGAAAACTTTGGGGCTTTGGCCCGGGTCTTGGGGTAGGTTCAACAACACTACACCGCTTGTGTACATCTATGCGTTACGTGTATGCAGCCAAAGGCCCTTAGTCAGCTATATCGATTCAACGGTTGGGCACCAGTCATTTCTACAGGCTGGCACAAAAGTATCATGTCCACTTGTATCAAACATTCTCTGTGCGATTGCAATCCTAATTATGTTGCTAAATGGCCACCGCAAAACCCAGATTTTAGTACATGCAAAATTTATTGAAAATAGTGGGTGAATTTTTTTTAATTATTATTATAATAATGATACAATGTCTGAATGCGACACCCTGTATACATGGTGGAAAGGAGAGCATGGGAGGGATATTTGGAGTGGCCAGACGCAAGCTGTGCTCTGCTTGTTTACACTGCGAAATTTATCTCCATAAATTTGGGGTTTTTGCATTCAAGGGAAATTTAGGAGTTCAAGTCGATGATCCCTATTCGTAAGGTGGTTTTTATGAGTCTGGATTTTATTGGGAAAATTGAATAAGTTTTGCAGAACTGAAAAAACATTAAGCAATTCATTGTTTCAATATTTAACTTAGCAAAACTTCGACATCCTAATTAAATTCTTTCCTTATAACTAAACCAAACAGAAAATTGTAAAGTAATTAGTTTAAATTGCTTATTTCGTATGCAGTTAAGTGGCAGGCTATTAACAACTTTGTAAACAAAATGCTTGAAACTCTATTTTGCTCGTCTCTAAAATTGCCTTTTTTAATTTCAAACTTTATAATTTTCTTTAATTTGCAGGATTCAACCAGATTATGTTTCATTTAAGGAAAGCGGTATGACCTATATTTAAAGCGCATCATTTTTGCTTATTATGAAGACATTTTGAGTTTTTGTCTAAATACACTGAAAAAAATAATCTCTTAAAAGAAATGAAAATCACTTTGATTCAAAAGATTTGTGCTTTTCAATAGGGCCAAGAGCTATGTTTGTTATTGTTTATAATATAACATTTTTATATAAAAAGTATAATGAATATTATACATATATTATTCATTATACTTTTTATATAAAAATGGAAAAACTTTAAAACTTAAATTTAAAAACAATGCAATGTTAATTAAAACCAACCGTTTGAAGCTTTCATTAATAAAGTTCTAAATTAAATTTACTTGTTAAATAAATAAATATAATTAAAATTATAAAAAACAATTATTTTATTGAAATATTTTGAATTCTAAAGTATTACATAAAGAGCCGCATTAGCATATTAATTTGATTTTATATAATAAATAATATGATGAATACTTTGTATTTTTTCCTTTCTAATTTGTTGACTAAAGGGATCAAATGAAAATATTTTTAAAGCCTGGGATCAGCGTTATTATTTCCTGCTACCGCTGTTGATGCAGGATAATCTTGCAGGAAAATCAATGGGCGCTTTAAGGCTTTTCCATTTGTGATATATGTCATTATTATTATAAAGAGTTTTACAACAAAAAATATGAAAACCGATATAAAGAAAGTTGTAGGATAAAAAAAATTGCAATTAAAATAAGTTTATTAAATTCTTGGTTTATATTCAGCACTTTTCAAACAATTACAATTAAACCTTTTTATTGATTGATAAATATTCTAAAATATTTTAAACTTTTGAATTTAAATTACATTTTAGTTTTACATGAATATAAATTGTTATGGAAATACAACGATTATTTTAAGGCGTATTTTTATACAAGGTGTTTTCCAGAAAATTTTTCTTCTACATCTAGAGATAAAATATTGTTAGACGTAAGTTTAAAAAGCCGTA